AAAAAAGAAAAAGAAAAAGACCATGCTTGCTGGTGATGGAAACTGGTGAAACCTCCGAGACTGGCCCTTTGTAGCGTTTTATGTCTGGGATTGAACTCACCCCTGTGGTTCAATGTTCAGCCAAACAATAAACAGGTCTGTAAAGTAAACAATAGGTGCATGCTTTAGAATCATCGGCTATTGGAGACTAAATGGGCATTGTTTTCCCAAGGACACCATTCAGAAAGCAGGAAGGGTTAGCACAGGAGGAGGAACAGGAACAGGAAGCAGAGAAGGAATTGGGGTAGATGATGCCACTTTGTGGAGATGGTAGTCAATGACATGAGACAAAGGAAGTAAGAATTTTTAAAGGAAAACACATTTACTCTACAAAACACCACCCCACTCACAAATAAGATAAAATCAAAATAAAAACAGAAGCATCAACTCAGGATAGAGGCAGGAAGAGGGGTGAGGACCATACCTCTGAATCCATCTTCTTCATTCAAGAGGCCGAGAAGGATCGCTACTCTCCTCGTGTTGCGTGGAAAGCGCTCGTTGTGGTCTCTGAGCATCCCCACAGCACTCTGCACGCAGCTGCTCAGGAGTCTGCTAGTGTCCAGGACCTGCAGCCGTCAGTACAATGCCGTGAGATGGCATCTCAGGGTCGACATGCAGGAAGCAGAGGTGATTTTCCATGTAGAGATGACGCTGGTGACCGACCAGCTGCTCCTGAGAGTCCGCCCACGTCCCCTGCTCATCAGGGACTTGGTCAGAACAGAGCACAGTTAACAGGGAGACCTCAGGAAACTCTGAGGGCCAGGATTTCACCTACAGTTGACTCCAGCACCAAGGGAGCCCTGGAGGCTCCAGGGCTCAGCACTAGCTGCAAACCGTGCGCGCAATGGCCCGTGACCACCAGCTGCTCCTTAGGAGAAGAGACCTGGCGATCTGCCCCTGAGAAGATTTTAGCCTCAGCAAGAAAGCCTGGGGGGCAGTTCTACCCTGTCCTGTGAGTCAGAGTGGACCTGACAGCGCTTGAAACAGCAACGCTGCCAGCACCAGTCGTCATGAGTCAGCTCTTAGTCCGCATGCCCCGTGTGTAACAAGATAGAACGGCTCCACAGGGCTTTCAATGGCTGGGTTTCAGAAGTTGATCCCACGGCTTCTTCTGAGGCTGCTCTGCATGGACTCGAAAGCCCAGCCTTTCAGTTAGTAGCCACACCCCCATAACCATTTGGCATCCTCCACGGACTCCCACTATCTGGAGTAGAGGGGGAAAGGAGGGCCCCAGCATGGCCCAGGGGGCCCTGGAGGGCTGGTGCTTACCTCAGTGCTTCTGGGCCCAGAGGCTGCCCCCTCCACCTCGGCAGAGCTGTCCGTGTCCATTCCCAGCTCTGCTGTGTCCCCAGGTCCTTTCAGCTCTGTCTCCATCGCCTCCTCCTCCTCATGGTCCCCTGTCCCGTGTCCCATCTCCACTGCAATGGAAGCAGAGCCAATCAGCCTACGATGCACACAGGGACCTCAGCAGCACTTCCTGTGAGGACACGTGCTTAGCACATGCCCAGGCTGGCCAGAGTGGCCCCCAGATGAGGCGATGTTTGCCATACAGACAGGACACAAGTTGAGTTCACCCACTCAGGGTGGCTCCCCCCTTCCGCCTCCCAGGGCTCTGTCAGAGGAGCCAAGACAAACAGACACCTTCCAGAGGGGCTCTCCCCAAAGATCTCCGAGGCCAGTGACAGCCCCCTCTGCCAGCCTTGGGGAGCAGGTCAGGGTGCTGTGGTCACTCCCCGATCAGATAGGTCAGCTCAGCAAAGGTCTGAGCTGCTGCTGCAGGGCAAGTGCTGGGAGCCAGAGGGTACTGAGGCTGGGTGGCCAGCACCCACGGTGCACAGCTGCCCCCACAGCACTACCTGTCGGGCCCCATCCACTATCCTGGGTCCCCAGAACCTCCGCTCAGCACTCACCCTCAGGCCTGTTCTGTGGAGCGAAGAGCTGGCTGATGGAGACATGCTGCAGCTCGGTCACTTCGGAAACCATGGTTGCTGACCTGTGGAGGTCGTCGATGTGCAGGCACTGCCACAGCCCTGCCAGAGAGAAAGCCGGGGCCCTCTTGTCGCTTCAATACTCTGCTGTGAGGGAGGGGCACCTGTCCTCCATGGAAACCCCTGAACGTGCGCACATGGAACCCCCCTGGGCATGCCGGGCCATGGGAGTCGGCGTAAGTATGTGATGCTCTCATGTGTCTGCCAGTGTGTAATAATACGGGAGGGAGACCCTGCAAAGGTTTGCCCCCACCCCCATTACTATTTTTATATAATTATTACAGTAAACTGCTATGCTCCTGCTTCTGGATGCCAATTTTCTTATGGGATAAATAGTGGATGGCCCACTCCTCAATTAAAGTGGAAGGTTTTCAGATAGCATTTCTCCCTGTCCTCAGTAAAATGAAAAACAAACTAACAAATCAGTGCATTCAAAGCAGTACTAGTAGGAATATCTTTCCTGAATCACTCATATATTGAAAATGTGAGGAAATGAGAGAACCATCCAGTGTTTATGTAGCAGCAAACTAAAGGGAATTCTGAGTGTAATACCATCAAGTCCAGTGATCAAGGTGGTTTTTGTGTGTGCGAGTAATTATTGGTAGGAAATCTACCTGCATCTAAAGAGATTCTTGAGGTTAATATTCGATTCTTACACTTGTACAGCATTAGAAATAGAAATAATTTTTTAAATTATTTATTTATTCAATTTATTCAATTAATTATTCAACTTAGAAATAATTTTTTTAAAACCTTAATGAAATGTATTTACTAATACTTTGGTCTTACCTCCCTGGAATCCCACATAAAATGTTCTACTCCCCATCCGGGACAGCTTTGTGATGAAATAGACCAGGATACTGCTCTTCTTTTCCTGAATCTTGTTGATCTCATTGATGACAGAATACCTATTAAAAGATCAAACAAACAAACAAACAACATCAACATTATTAAATGTCTGAAGGGTATCCCAGTAGTTAGTATGTTCAATATCATATCACATTCTGACATTTGGTTTCTTCCGAGCTGGGGCGGGGGGTGGGGGTGGGGGGGGGCTGTTTTATTTTTAACTTTGAATAAATTTTCAATCTCCCTCAATCTTCTGTTCTTCCAGAATGAACCTAAGTGCTCATCCAGTCAGTTCACTGTCTTTGCCCCAGTGCTCTGAAGGGGCATTCATTTATCAACTAGAGACACTGCCACCCCATCTTTGGCAGACTTGCCCTGATGCCACTAAGTGGAGGCCTAGCTGAGCTTTCCGTTTCAGGAATGAGATTGTATGGGCAATACGATTTCCTCATGCCACCCAGATCCCAGTGCTACCCACTGGGATCTAATCAGTCCTGAAATAGGGTTTCCAATGCTTGAAGAGGTACAGAAATTACTTTATCTCAGAGATAAGGAACCACTGGGTTTTCTTTTGTTGTTCTTGTTAGGTGTTTTTGAGTGAATACCTACTAATAGCAGTCCTATATACGACAGAATGAAACACTGTCCAATCCTGCCACCCTCACATGTGTGAGCCCATCGTTGCAGCCACTGCGTCAGTCCATCTTATGGAGGACCTTCTTCTTTTTCATGACCTGCTATTTTACCAAACATGATACCCTCTCCAGGGTCTGTATCTCCTGACAGCAGGTCCAAAGTACACAAGACACCATCATTGCCTCTAAGGAGCATTCTGGCCCTACTTCTTCCAAGACAGATTTGTCTGTTATTTGGGCAGTCCATGGTATTTTCACTATTCTTTACCAGCACCATAATTCAAATACATCAATGATTCTTTGGTTGCTCTTATTCAGTGTCCAACTTCTACTTGCATATAGGGTGATTGAAAATACTATTGCGTGGGTTAGGTGCACCGTAGTTCTCAAAGTAATCTCCTTGTCTCTCAGTGCCATACTGTGGTGGCTTATGTGTTGCTGTGATCCTGAAAGCTGTCACTGGTATCTCAAAATACCAGGAGGGTCACTGAAGGTGAACAGGTTTCAGCAGAGCTTCTACACTAAGATCAGACTGGAAGAAGGAATAAATGGGCTGTTCCCTTCTAAGGGATTAGCCACTGCAAACCTTGTGGACAGCAGAAGAGCATGGTCAGATATAGCGCTGAAGGCGGAGCGCCTCAGACTGCAGAGCACTCCAATATGACAGCGGAAGAGCTGCCTTAAGACGGAATCAAGAAGCGTGGCATGGGTGGAGTAAAGCTTGGAAGACCTTCATTACTCATGTGTCACAGCTCAAAACAAGACTGAATAGCTCCAAACACCCATTACTAATAGGAATGTAGAATACATGCAGCATGAATGGTAAGAAAATTGGAAATAAAATAAAATGGAAGGCATAAAGATCAATAACCTAAGGTATTAATGAGCTCAAGTGGTACTGGCCATTTTGAATCTGACAGGCATAGGGTTTACTAAGCCACGAATGATAAACTCAAGAGGAAGAGTGATGCTTTCATTGTCAAAAAAGACATTTAAAGGTCGATCTTGAAGGACAATACTGTCTGACAGGATAATCTATAACCCTAAAAGAAAGTTCAGTCAATACACCTATTATTGAAATTTATGTACCAATCATTAAAGTTGGTGGTTAAGAAACTTAAAAATGTTACCAACTTCTTTAGACTGAAATGCTATCAATATGTCTTGATAGCCGTTTAAGTGAGGAATCAACTAAGTCCACATAGAAGAAGCATACCAGCCTGTGTGATTCAGGCATTACAAAGAATAAAATCCAAATCTTGAGGTGGGGATGATACCAAAGTCTCACTTCTAAATACTCAGTTTTCAGAACATTATGGATAATAGTGGAAGCCCCAAATCTACTTGCAGGGTCCCTGTACTGATTGAATCTTTGCTGAATCCCTACTAACCAGAGTCTAGGAATGTAAATAGCCTTAATATCAGACAAAGAACATTGTGAAGTACATTTTAGCAACTGTTGTCAGGCTGGCTTGCAACACCTTATTAGACCTCTTTTTTTAAAAAAACTATTTTAAAATTTATTCTGTTTTTAAAAAATATTATTTTCTGCCTTTAAAAAATCAATTTATTGGGGGCTTATACAACTCTTATCACAATCCATACATACATCAGTTGTATAAAGCACATTTGTACATTCATTGCCCTCATCATTTTCAAAACATTTGCTCTCCACTTAACCCCCTGGCATCAGCTCCTCATTTTTCCCTTCCCTCCCCTCTCCCCCCTCCCTCATGAACCTTTGATAATTTATAAATTATTATTTTGTCATATCTTGCACTGTCTGACGTCTCTCTTCACCCACTTTTCTGTTGTCTGTCCTCCAGGGAGGAGGTTATATGTAGATCCTTGTAATCGGTTCCCCCTTTCCAACCCACTCTGCTTTCTTTTCTATTGAGGTTTTTCTTTAAAAAAAAAACATTTTTTCAGATAGAATTATTCTTTTATTTATTTTTTAAAAATCATTTCATTGGGGGCTTGTACAACTCTTATCACAATCTATTGTGTCAAGCACATTTGTACATTTGTTGCTATCATCATTTTCAAAACATTTTGTTTTTACTTGAGCCCTATCAGCTTCTCATTTTCCCCCTCCCTCCTCCACCCGCCCTCCCTCCCTCATGAACCCTTGATAATTTATAAATTATTATTATTTTTTCATGTCTTACACTGACCTATGTCTCCTTTCACCCACTTAAAAACCAATTTTATTGGCATTTAAGTCACATATCACCCAATTCAGTAGTTCAATCATATCAAGAAGATTGAGGTTTTTCTGTTTTATTTGGTCATTGCTGTAGTCCTCTTTTGGTTTTTGTCTTTGTTTTGTGTGTTTTTTTCTGTCTAGGGGTGTTTTTTTCTGTCTTGGGAAGACTGCAATTGGATTAAAAATTACCCGGAGGCACAGAAGAGGAGGTGGGGCAAAAATAGGGAGTCAACAGCAATGAGTACAAGAAGGAAGAAAATGTTCCAAGTGGATTGTGGTGAAGAAAGCACAACCCTTCTTAATGTGATTGAACTACTGAACTGTAGGATACGATAATTATATTTAAAAACTATTAAAAGAAAAAAGATGCATTGATACTAGTTGGCACATGAAACACAAAAGTTGGAAACAAATAAAAGGAATGGTAGTTAGAAAATATGGCCTTGGTATTAGAAACGAAACTAGAGATCACATCATACAATTTTACAAGATCAACCACTTTTTCATCGCAGCTACTTTTTCCAACAACATAAATGGTGACTACTATACACATGACCTTCTCCAGATGCATTGCACAGAAATCAAACTGATTACATCATGGGAAGAAATCATGGAAAAGCCCGATCTCAACAGGCAAAGCAAAGACACATTACTGACTGGACCAGACTATCAATTGCTCATATGAAAGTCCAGGTTGAACTTGAAAAAAGTGAAAACATCCATAAAAGTAAAAAGATGACTTTGCATATATTCCACCTGAAGTTCGAGAACTAATGAAGAATAGATTTGACTCATTGAACATTAATGGCATGAGACATGGTGAGCCGTGGGTAATATCAAGAACATCATGCATGAGGAAAGCAAAAAGTCATTAAAAAGAGAAAGAAAGAAAAGATCCGCTGAAGACAAAGCGGGTGAATAAGCAAATGTGGTGAAGAAAGCTGATGGTGCCCGGCTATCAAAAGATATAGCGTCTGGGGTCTTAAAAG